ACCCCTAACCCTAACCCTAACCCTAACCCTAACCCCTAACCCTAACCCCTGACCCTGACCCTGACCCTGACCCTGACCCTAACCCTAACCCTAACCCTAACCCTAACCCACTAACCCACTAACCCACTAACCCTAACCCTAGCTAACCCTAACCCTAACCCTAACCCCTAACCCTAACCCTAACCCTAACCCCTAACCCTAACCCTGACCCTAACGCTACACCTAAACCTACCCCAAAACCTAACTCTAACCCCTAACCCTAAATCTAACTGTAAGCCTAATTGTGACTGTAACCCTCTCTCTATGCCTAAGTCCAGGTGTAGGTCTAGGGTTGATGGGGGGTTTCTGGGTGGTCTTTTTTGTGTTGGGAGGTGTGTTTGGGGTGTTATTTGGGTTGTTTTTTATGTATTTTTGTTACTTTTTGTTAAAAATTGTTTTTACTTGCAATTCTCTGGTTGTCCACAAGGTGGCAGCAGTTCGATTAATTTTCAGTTGCAATTGCGGTTCTTGTTCACTAGGTGGCGCAGGTGGGGATTTTTTTAAAATGCAGTTACGGTATTTCGACGGTAGGTGGCAGTATTTCATGTAGAACGTACATGCAATTCCTTTTCTCTGTCACCAGGTAGCAGTGTTGCTATGCGATTTTTAGTTATTGGAATTTCTGTTGGATTACCGTATTTATTGGTGTTGTTTTTCTGGGAAATTGGCTGATTAAATACGGAAATTTTCTAACGACTCACCCAAAGGAATTTTCTATGCTAATTGGCTAGGAATTGCTACCACCTAATAACCACCTAATTAGGAGAATTAACAGCAGGAGACGAGAGTAAGAGAAATAAAAGCAGGAGAACAAACTAAGAGAATTAAAAGCAGAAAACAGGAAGAGAAATAAAAGCATGAGAAGAGAGAAAAATAAAAGCAGGGGAGGAGCCTAAGAGAATGAAAAGCAAGAAAGGAGCCTACAAAAATTAAAATCAGGAGAAGAGACGAAGAGAAAGAAATCAGGAGAAGAGGCTAAAAAAATTAAGATCAGGAGAGGAGACGAGGTGCTTAAAAATCAGGAGAGGAGCCTAAAAAAAATAAAAAACATGAGAGGAGACTAAGAGAACTAAAATTAGGAGAGGGGGCTAAGATATTTAGAATAAGGGGAGGGGGTTAAGAGAATAAAATCAGGAGATCAGCCTAAAAGAATTAAAACCAGCAGAGGAAACTAAGGGAACAAAAATCAGGAGAGGAGCCTAAGACAATATCTTTAGGCACCTCTCCTAAATTTAATCAACACCAGAAGAAGAGCGTAAGAAAACAAAAATCAGGAAAAGATCCTCCCAGACTCACCTCCAATGCCCGGACGCTCCCAAAAATTACCCGGGTGCCATATGCAATCACTAAAGGTACGTGCCTTCTTGCTCATCCTTTTAAAACTTGTCCTTGCAGACAAGGAAAGCTCAAACTGTCGCCACATAATGAGGTGGTTCCTGCGGTCACAAGGTTATTCCAACTCAACTACGAGAAATGGGTCTCCTAGGGTCTTTGCCCTGCACTTATCTTGCTGACAGCCGGGGATGCCAATCCGTCTTTGATGCACAGCAGGGTCACCTGGGCGGGCTCAGAGGTTGCTGCAATCGCCAGACTACTAGGAGTCCACTGCGAGAAAGAAAACCAGACACCATAGCTGAGTAGCGTGGCACGTGGACCCAGCCCCCATGATCCCTCTACTCGCTGTCACCCAGGCAGGTCCTCGGGG